ATATCGCGCTGCTTTAGAGGTATTATTTCGAATCGGTATTGCAATCGTTAGTTGACCAGCCCTCTATCTACGCCTGCGCTAACGAATTCGAATAAAGCAAAACTCGTGGGGTAGCTTGACCCTTGGTCATCCATTGGAACGCAGACAGTCCAGCCGGTACCGTACATCGCGATACGACTATGCTCTTTACGCAACAATTGACGTCATTACCATGTCTTGCTAAATATAAAAAGTGGGTTTCTATTCAAGAATTAAACAATTGGACGTCGATTTAGCGCTCTGTGTATAAAAACAGAAATTATTCGAAGCATTGTACCGATATTTAGTCAATCGATCATTTAATAAGAGAGAGAAAAGAAAATATTAAATATTCTTCTGAACACAAAGATTTAAAGAGGTTCTAATTCTCGAAAATATTTCACTGGTATTGCGACGACTAAATTGATTGAATTCATTAAAATTTAATTTTACTGATACAAAAAGCAGTATTGTACGATACCTTATACAATTATTTTAAAGCGAGTAAATGGTGAGATATATAGGTGTTGTACGAATACTATTTCTGCTATTAATTTCAGAAATTGGTTTAATATTATATTATTTGGAGGTGCGGTTGCAAAGTTTGATATCCGTTCAAATTTTACATTACACAAATATATATGTATATCGGCTTGATGTAAATTATCGATTTTCCCACGAGTTCCAGTGTGAAATTTCATGAAAATCCAGCAGTAATATCGTAAAAAATGATTTTGCACAGGTCTCGGGCGCCGAGCAAAGCCATGGAGCGTTACGAACGTCTGGCGCGTCTCGGCGAGGGTAGCTATGGCGTCGTCTTCCAGTGTAGGGATCGGCAAACTGGGAAATTGGTAGCTGTAAAGAAGTTTCAGCAGACTGAAGATGATCCCCTAATACGTAAGATCGCACTCCGGGAAATACGTCTTTTAAAGGTCAGTTTCCTCTTTTCGATTCCCCTTTAGTTTTCTTAGTTGTCGAAAATACATGTTTCACATTGGTGAAAAAATTTCACTGAAATTATTCCACGTTTTGGAATAGCGAAATTGTTGAAATATTTCCTGAAACTTCACTGAAAGTGAATTTTACAGCCAAAAATTATATACTGAAAAATTGCTGAAATTAAACTGAAATTTCTCCGAAATGATAAAAATGAATTTTTTAACGAAAAATCGCTGAAAGAGAAACTCAATTTTTTCTAAAATGCTGAAATTTTACTGAAGTGTTCCAAAACGTGGATTAATTTCAGTGAAATTTTTTTACCAGGATTTATTTATAATTATCATCCTTTTTTCGATCTACCGAAAGTGAATGAAAAATCGTAATAATCTCTGCGGTAAACATTTTGCGAATAATTTTTATTATACAAAAGAGATCATAAGAATCGCTGATACGACTCTCGAAGTTTTTCAATTCGATCGATCTACGGAATAATCAAGTTTGCCGAGGGTCGCATTCTTGAAGGTGAACGACCTCTGTAACGTGTACGTTCGCAACCGCTAGTTTCCACTCATATTATAGAACGATGATGGTGCGATAATTTTAGTCTCTTGAGACCAACTTAAAATATTTAGATACGTTCATAAATTTATTTTTTTTATTCGTTTACTTTTCTTCTTTATATAACTTATTCCCGTTTTTATAGTATTTTAAGATTTATATATGTATGTACATATAAAGATATAATTATAAAAATAAAATATATACGAGTAGAATTTCTAGATTTATACTTAATAAATTTTATCGTTCTTGCTTCTTCAATTTGCCATTGCTTATAAGATAGAATTCAAGTAGCAGGTACATTCTAAGTAAGGAAGTGGTGTTCTTATTTACACGATAAGGAGCTCACACAGGTGCAATATAATGGCTGCGAGAAGTAGCCAACGGTCAATACCGGGCAGCGGTCAATATCTTGGCGTGTTACGGTCTTACCGACCTAATATTATCGTTACAATCAGCGGGTTCACCACCAAACGTATGCGCATTCAAATAAGCCCCTTTATATACTGCCACGTTTTGACATTTTGCTTCAAGGCTGTTCTTTGTTCGGTAGACAATAAGAGCATTGCATCTCTCGACCAGTATGCAAAAATTTCTTCGCAGTACTTTACTCATAAAGCGCTGCGAAATTATAAGTACAAACTTTAGGATTGAATTAAGAATTTGCAGGTGAAAGAGAGGAAGTCGAATAAATTGCCTGTAAGAAAAAACCTATTCTTGAAATTACAAAAGTATTTTCATTCTGAAAGAGAAGAAGCGCTTACTAGAGAAACGCTGATCGTCTCTCGATTTGTCGCAAATCCTTTTATAGACATAATTCACATAATTAATTTTACTGATGTAATGAAATGGTTAGTAGTTGGAAATTAGTACTTTCCTTTGATCTACAGAACCTCAAGCATCCGAACTTGGTCAATCTTCTGGAAGTCTTCAGACGGAAGAGGAAGTTACATTTGGTATTCGAATATTGTGAAAATACCCTTTTGAACGAAATGGAGAAATATCCTAGCGGTTGCCCAGATCTCACGACGAGGCAAATTACTTGGCAAATTCTGCAAGGTGTCGCCTACTGCCACCGTCTTGGATGCGTTCACAGAGACGTAAAGCCAGAAAACATCCTCATCACCTCCGAAGGCATAATAAAGTTATGTGATTTTGGATTCGCGCGTATGCTGAGTCCTGGTGAGAACTATACGGAATATGTTGCAACCAGATGGTACAGAGCACCTGAATTGTTGGTAAATATCCGGAAACACAATTGTAAAATTTTCGGATTTTACAAGAAAGATGATAGCAGTTCCATTGATCGTGCATGGATAGCACGATCAACAAAACTACATGTCAACACCACGTCTCTAACCATTTTTATCAAATACTTTTAATTTATCTTGGCTCGTATTACTAATACGATCGATGAACTTGATCAAGGAACTTTTTTGATCACTGTTTCACGTTTGTGATAATAAAGCATCGATCGTTTCTTTTTTTTTTTATTAAATTCTCATCTTTTTTATATCTTTTCAAGAAACAGTACCAATGTTATACTAACTTTTTTTAATATATAAAATAATATTACAAGAGATGGAAATTTACAAAAATTACAAAAATTTAGTTTGTCTTTATTCAAATTTGCGGGTTTATTTTTGTACAACATAGCTTTCATGCAAAGATGTTCAATTTTCAATTGCAAAGAGAAGATTAAAAAATTTTTTTTTAATTCTTTAAAAATTCTTTATTAAATTACAATAAAATCGTTACCTGATGATGACTATGTGTCTTTCGGGGCAGGTTGGGGACACACAATACGGTACTCCGGTTGATGTATGGGCGATCGGTTGCGTGTTTGCTGAATTAATACGGGGCGAAGCCTTGTGGCCAGGAAAATCCGATGTGGATCAACTATATCTAATAAGAAAAACGCTGGGTGACCTTTTACCGAGACACATGGCCATCTTTCAACAGAATGAATTCTTTACCGGTATCACTCTTCCAACTCCGCAAACACGTACGCCACTTGAAGACGCTCTACCCCGCGGAAATGGCAGTACTTTACAAGTAATATTAACAAATTTACTTTGATCTGAATTTAAACCACAATCGACCGAAAAAAGAATATACTATATGTACAATAATATACATATACCTTCATAATTATATATTGTAGAAATAAATAAATCTCTCCTGTTTATAGCTGGATTTCCTAAACAAATGTTTGGATAAGGATCCAAATGAAAGGTGGACGTGCGAACAATTATTGCGGCATTCTTATTTCGATAATTTTCATTTTAAAATGCCAGATGTCGAGACAGAAGAGTTTGAAAAACTTAAAAAATATCGAGAACGTTCTAGGGTAAGTTTAATGATCGAACAGCAAGAGAGTAATCTAAGAGTATGAATTAATATACATGTATAATACGATTATAATTACAGAATACCAATTATAGTCAAATGGTGTTACCCCAATTACCTAAGGCTGGACCTTCTGTTCATAGCCAAAGTGAAAATCGGCCGAAGAGCTCCTCGATACATCAGCAAAATTTTGATCATCTACCTACTATAAGAGGTTAATCAATCTCCTCTGTGATTGTACATATATTTTCCTAAGCTTTTTGAGAATATTAACATTAATTTATAGAATTCTATGAAAATGAATGTTATTATCTTCTCCTTTTATTTGTATTAGCATGTTCTTTTTTATAGATTTTATTTAGATCCTTATTTATATACATAGGAAAGAGTAGATGCGTGCAATTCATATGTATATCTCTTACAATAAAGTTTTGTATAAAATATGTATAAGAAATATTTATTTTAATATATGTATAGTATTCTATAAGCAACAAAGCTCTCTTAAACACACATATATATATAATAAACTTAGATTTTAAATATGTAATAAATCAGTTGCTTTGCAATAGATTAACATTGTTACCCTCTATTATAAAAGAGAATATATACTATAATATATGTTAAATTAAAGCAATAAAAAATTTTTAAATAGAAAATTTCATCAAATAAGGATAAAATAGAACTTATTTCAATATTCATTAAAATATTTCTTTAGTACATTTAATTTGTTCATTTATATTATAAAACTGATATATAAAAATTTAAGAGAAAAAGGAAAATGTAGAAGACGTGTGCAAATATAAAACAGAATTACCTACTTCACCACAATTATAAATTTAAATACTAAATATTATTTTTTAATTTTGAAATTTATTTGAACGGATATTAATTCATTTTAAATATTATTTTATTAATAACGAATTTAAACCCATATACATTGCATTATCATGTACTAAATTTCTTATACAATCTGATTATTGGATGATCATGTCTATCAGATTGTGGAACATAACGCTGTTGCAAGATAAACCAACCTATATGAAGTCCTACAATTAATGGTACTATGGCATAGATCGTAGCGTTCCCTTGTAAAAATGACTTTTTCATATTAGATTGCATTTTTCGTTCTCTTTCTGAAATAGATGTGTCCTAATTCGATAGGAATCGTTAGTATTTGCGTTCCACCTCTGCTTTATAGTGCATTATATATCTGAAACACAAAAAATCTTTTAAAATATTTGTTGAATATATTTGGATAATACCCAAATATTTTGCCAGGAAAGTAAATTTTCGTTTGTTTGTCAACAATACATTCGCAGTAAAACAATTTAACTATATATAATAATACAGATATGTAGAAATGTAACAAATTTTAAAAAAAAATAGAACAATATAATTACGAAAGTAAGAAATGAGACAGTGAGATGTAATTGATATATTTTTAATGCGAAATATAGAGATATCGATAAATTTACGATGCATATAATTAGCTAACCTATTAATGCATGGCGAAAGCTTTTATAGACCCATTAAATGAGGCGCAATTCCACTACTCTTAAATAAAACTCGGAATTTTCTAGTCAAGTCCTTTGAACACTTCAATAATTATTTGTTACGTTTATATATCTCATTCAATTATCACCTTTATCGCTAAATACCGGATCAGCTGATAAACACGATTGCGTATTGAATTTCCACAACTTGTCTATAGCGTACGATTCATTGAAAATAAGAACGAATAAGAATTCAACCAATCGAAGCAAAATGAACCAAGGATACTCGATTATCTGATTGGTTAAATTTCTATGTCCAATATGAAACTGCAAGCTTGCAAAATATATAGTATGATACAGTCTTTAAGATTCAAAAGCGGGAAAATATTGAGGAGAGAAGAAGTGACTAACCTCTTTGTACGGTTTTCTTTTTCGATGATTTGATTTATGTTACATAGTAAATTTGTGTCTCATTGTTGATGTAATTACTTCATTTTTTAGCATTGTGTATGCTTTTTTTTGGTAATTATATAAAATACCCTCACCACCTCCGATTGTGATAAAATTCAGCTCATTCGACGCGTATTCACTCCAAAACGATGGCTGATAGTAAATGCATACAGATGATTCAAACAAATTTTTCATTATATGGCTTGGTATTATCAAGGCAAGTATTCTATTTATTAAATTAAAGAATTTAAGAATTTCACGACAGAAAGATGGAAAATTCTCTAAATAAATTATTAAAATACGAATAAATTTTGTAATCTTATTTTCATAATGTATATTGTGTATTTTATATATTAATGTAATTAATATATAATGGTATAATTACTATATAATACTTTCTGAATACACATTTTTTATATATTATTTTTATGTGTAATTGCATGTAACTTATAAAACAATTATTCATAGTTGTTTATATTTTTTTTAGGGAGCTTAGAGTATCTCTCGCAAAGCAGTTGTTAAAAATACCACAAAATGAACGTGAATCCTGGCTTAATCGTATTATAGAACTAATTCTGGCTCAAAATTTAGATGATCCACATATTAGAGCTGAACATATAAAAATTGCTATAGAAGAATGCTTGGAGCCAAATAAATTGAAAGATACAGAAACAGTGTTTAATGTTATAGAGGGATATAATATACCAAAGATACAATATGACATTTCTAAAAAGAAATTTATCATTGACAATGAAAGCTCATACCCTGAAACACAATATAAATCATTGGTTTTTAAATATCGTTTCGAAATGGCATGGTATAAAACTCTGAGACACAAGCAATTTCTATCATCAAAATTTGAGAAACAAACACATAAAACAAATTTAATACCTATTGAATATCTATTAAGTGAGCTGAGAACAGAGAATGTATGTATAATGGGTTTGATAACACAATTAATGGAAGATCAATATTATTTGGAAGATACGAGTGGAACTGTCAAGATTGACCTCAGCAATACAATATCCTTTATATATACTTAATTATTGCATTTTAAGGTATATTTGGTTTTATTAAAAAAAAATACATTGATTTTAAAATGTATGAAAATATTTTATATGGATAATGGAAAAACATTTCCTAATTTATTTCAAAACACTTCAAACTTTATATAAGCTTAGTGATATGCTATTTCTCAATACTAGTTTCAAAGATATACGTTTTATTGATATCTTGTATGTGATAAAAATTTTTAGTTAATGATTAAATGATTTATAACATGAAATTATAAGCTGGAAATTATAATTGTGATTAATCATATCTTGATTATATCTTAAAAAATTAGAAAAAGATAGATTTTTATAGATTCACCTATATGAAATATTTTTGTTCATTGAAGTTTGGCTGGTACATCATTTTTTAAATATAGCGGTAACAACTAATATGCAAAATTATTTTTCTTATTTTATGTATAAGATTTTCAAGATGCTTTTATCATGGAAGGCTTTATAGTAATAGCTAATGGTGTTTATAAGGATGATGTATTACATGTAAAAACTATCAACCTTCCGCCAATAGAATCGTCAGAAAGCTTACGATCAGATTTTGGCGACACAAATACATTTGGTGGCCCACATAATATATCTTTAAAAATGTCAGAAAAATTACAAATCCACGAAGAAATGAACCAGGATGGAATGATAGTATTCATAGCAGAATTATGGTTGGATGCTCCTCATGTTTTACAAAAATTTAAGACAATACTGGAGGGTTACATGGATTATCCTCCTATAGCTTTTGTATTGTGTGGTCATTTTTTAAGTTTTCCTACAAATGTCACTAGTGCGAAAGCTTTGGTAACAGGTTTTAAAAATTTAGCTGACATAATAACACAATATACAAGTATAAAGGAATCTTCCAAATTCGTTTTTGTACCTGGCCCACACGATTTAGGCTCTCCAAAAATTTTACCAAAACCTCCTTTACCCAAATGTATTATTGAAGAAGTTACAAAAATGATACCAAACGCTATTTTTACAACAAATCCATGTAGAATACAATATTGTACAAAGGAAATTGTAGTATTAAGAGAAGATATGCTGACAAAGATGTGTAGAAATACGCTTCGTTTTCCGAAAGAAGAACACTTTTTGAGATATGTAAGTAGACGTTAGATTAAATACTACCAAATATATATATATATTTATAATTAATATTTATTACTTTCAGTTTGCTAAAGCAATCATTAGCCAGTCACATCTGACCCCAGTGCCTTTTCAAGTTGTTCCAGTATATTGGAAATATGACCATGCTCTACAGATATTTCCAACGCCAGATCTCATTGTAATTGCTGACAATTTTGAAACTTATACAACTAACTATTCTGATTGTTATGTGATAAATCCCGGAATGTTCGCGAAAAACAACTTTTCGTTTCAATCTTATGTGCCTGCCATTAATCAAATTCAAGATTGTCAACTTCCAAACGATACTGATGTTACTTAAATCAAAAAAAGATAATTATATAAAAAAACCATAGCAATGTTCATCGTAAACAATGTATAGAACTATACTGGGTATTAATATATGATTTTATAAGTTTGTGTATTTATTTCGTTTTGATAACAAAATCTTGTTTATTTTTACAATATTTCAAAAACGCATCGATAGTAGGTCCTTAAATTATAATTTTCGACACTAAAACGTCGAAACAAATTAAACCCAAGGGGCAAAAATAATTTAATTATGAAAAGGACTTCTAGACGATTTCTTACAATTAATTTTCTGTGTCCAATAATATAGTAGGAAATATTGAGACAATTTCAATTTTTAGGAATATATTTATAACTTCATGAACAGGGGCGTGCCTAGTGAGCATATGCATGTGTGTACAATGTGTGCCAAAGCTAGAGGTAGCCAAAGCACACCTCTGATCATGAACATATCTTCTTCTAATTACTTGCTTTTTTTATATCTCCTACATTAGAGAGGATGATAAGAATATATATCAAATTTCAATAGGACACAGATGGTACGCTTACTTCCCATTAATTCATATAAATAGGTACACAGAATATTAAACACAGTGTTTCTATCGTTTTGCAATATACATAATACAGGTACAGACCGGGCCCCAATTTATTTAAATTTTGTTGCGTTGGAAGCGTAAGTCAATTACTGAACGTAATAAATCAAATATGTTTTTTAAGCATAAAGAGTTGTTAATGTCCAGTCGTAATATTATAACATGATAATACTAATACCTTCTGTGAGCAATATAATTTTATCTTTTAGCAACTAATTGTTTTGATGCTAAACAAAATAGTGCAAACAGATACTATCAAAAACAAATTTATTTAAAATCAAGATAAATTAATAATGATTTCCTGGAAGAAATTTTTTTTGTATATATCTATGATTTCGTTTATAAAATATTTCAAATGCAACATGCTCTAAATATTGTTAATACTTTACATAACGGAAGTTAATGGTCGACACAAATATAAGTTTATTTCAAAACATTTATGAAGCAATTTTATATTTTAAATATCAGGTTAAAAAGTGCGAACATGTAGAATCTCAAAAATCGAAATAAAGAAATTTGTGTGTGTTTGTATGTGTATGTATGTATATATATATATACTCATACATATATATATTATACACATGTCATATGTGTAATATATTATACATAATATGTATATATATATATCAAGTCCTTTTACTTTAATTTTCCTAATTAGTGACGCGGATTTTAACTTAAAAACTGTACATTGCTTGTCTCCTAGATATTTAAATGATATATATTAATGCTTGATAATAAGATATAACATCGCGAAGAAATAAAATATTAATAAATTAGGAGGCGTAGAATGAAATTATGCTTCAAGAATTATAAATTTGCCGTTATAAATTTTCTTCGTTAATTAATATTTATTTGATATTTGAATTTAATATTTTAAATCTCAAAACGTTTAACTAGGTAGCATACAGAGAGTTAAAAAGAATTCAAAAATAATTCAATTGTATGTCATCATATATGAAAGCACAAATTGCAAATACACACATTAACTAATCACATATTACAGTGCTATCTGTAAAAAAGTACACTCTTACATCTATTGCACTTCCTTGTAAACACATTATTTTCATAATTTTCTTCGTACGTTATTCAATTCCTCCTGCAAAAATTATCATAATACATAATAATACATATTTTATTTTAATACACATATTTTATATACAAGTAGTTTTTAGTCCAAACGGACGGCGTAATAATTCTTCATGTCCTATATCTCACGAACCACTATTTTTCGTATGTAGTTCTCCTAAAAGAAATGATAAGTTATATTTACAAATAGTGTCCATGTAATTCATAAAATAGAAAATGCAAAGGATCACCTTGTGTGATTTGATCGAAATTGTAATTTTAATTTTTTTATTAATGTGTGACTAAATAATGCATAATAATAAAGGTTAAAAAAGAAACATTTTATTCCATTTTTATGTAACATTACAAAATATATCTACGAATTAGTTTAGCTGCAATCAGTACTTTCTGTAAAAATTATTAACTATATCGGGGAAAAATAAAAAAAAAGATAGTCAATGCAATCTCACTTTACGCACTTTCTCTTTGATATCTTCGACAAGCTTGATTCCTTTCTTCGGCGTCGAAATACCAAAGTGTAATGGCATATCTAGTTTTAAACGCTGGTTGCACCTCATGCGGATTTCGCCTATCCGACCAGAAAAATAATATCCTGTCGAACAAAGGTTCTATGTTTGCTACTTGATCGCGCCAACCTTCAGGAAATATCCTTAAAAGTCCGCCATTTTCCTGCGTAATAAAAAATACGCAATTATTTATCAATTTTTATCGTGATGTCCAAGCATGATGAATATGTGATGTAAAAAACACGATTATAGTGATGGATTAGTGATATTATAATAATAAAATCATGCAGATATGGCATCACTTTTTAAACAAAGACATAATATAATACAATCCAATAAAATAATAATATTAAGCAACTTGTACCAAGTATTCTAAAAATTTAAAATATATACATACATACTATATGTACTATGTATATATACAAATATATTAAAAAGATGTATAAAATTTATATTAATACGTATAAAATATTTCACCTTAACGTCCCAATCTCGATTAAGATAATAAATGGCTGTGATGCAACGTCCGTCTCGGTTAGGATTATCCACATGTTTCACATAATGTGAACCGTGACCGGGATAACAAGCTACCATTGCCTGGAAAGAAAAACGTATTTTATTAAAGGAGACAAGTATACAATTGGCAAATTATTATGAAATGTGACTAACTTTATAAATTCTGAAATTATTATTTAAATATATCGACGCAATTCGATACGCAAGAAAAAGTTTATTATTAATTTGTACTATCAAACATAAATAATGGCATGGGAAGGTACGAGTATTAATTTATTCCGATGCGCAAAAAGAAAAATATATTCAATTTTCATATTTGACGTAATTTAATATTGCTGCAATAAGAGATCTGCAAAGATATTTATGCGCGCATTATTTTTCTCCCTTTGAGATATAAATATCTTTTAATAAATAATAAGGCTCTGTAAGAATAAAACAAAATAGAACATTTGAAGGGCTAAGAGAGCCAGTTATTTAATAAAGAACCCTTAATTTAAAATAAAAATAAAAATAATTACAAACGTTTCGACGCCGCACCGATTCGGTCATTCTCAATGTTACAGTAAATGTATTTATAGTAAATATAAAACATTACGTTTGACATTGTCGAAACCACTAACTTGTTACTTCATTTGAAATTTTGCTCCAATAAAATTTGTAAAAATAACTACTGTGTATCATCACGATGAACTTTTTGCGTACTTTTTATCCATTAATTCTAAACATTTTATTTGATTATTACTACATTTCTGCTGTGAATTTTTCAACGACCAATTTGACTATTTTTATTTATTGACTTGCAACATTATGTTAAGGGAAAAAACGAGAATATCATTATGAAGCAGTAATTTATAGATTTCCAATAATTTTATATTTATAATGTATTTACTGTAACATTGAGAATGACTCGATCGGTGTTGAAACGTTTGTAATTATTTTTATTTTTATGTTTTGAATTAAACGTTTTTTATCACATAACTGGAGTTTAGCTCTTCAATTGTTCTATTTTGTTAAATATTTTTTATATCACATTTACATCTTAAATTATGACGAATATTTATGTCTAAAAAAAGATAATAATTCATATTTTCTAGAAATATGTACATTTACAATAACATACTAAATAATTTAAAGTATAATCTGTATTGTTATATGTACATATAGTTTATTAATTTAAAAAGAAAGAACATAGATAACGAGCAATAATTGACAATTAGCATTGTTTAAATTTAAAAACAATTGGTCCTAGATTATACACATATATATTTATATACATATTTTAACGCAGCACAAATATATATAATTTAATGGAAGAGAGAAAATTATATGTAACGTGTATAATATACGTTTGTAACACGTTTAATATGTATTATGTTTATCATTTGTCCCTTTGATAAGCATCAATATAATGCAATTATATTATTAGGCAAATTAATAGACAAAATATTTCGTACTTTTTATCTTATTTCCAGATTATCGATATGTACCATTGTATTACACTTACGACGCAAATTATAAGACAAAATAATCGACTGACTCAGTTCACATCAAAAGCATATTACCTTTCGTACATAACTTCACGTTTTCTGATAACAGTCTGCTTATTGTTAATAAGCCGATGAGATAATGTCGCGAAAATTCTTACGTTAACTTTCCTAGTATTTTAGAGGAACAAAATATAAGAATGTAAGTTTCTAAATATGCTTTCTTCTGTACGGCTAATTATGAACGCAGACATATTTCTCTGAAACTTCAATCATTAATTATCATCATAATTTATGTAGTAAAGAATGAACGAGACGAAAATATTTTTATATATATATATATATTAGTTTTTTTTATTCGTCACTTGCTATTCGGATAAAGTAATTTTTGACTCGAAAGTACGCATCACAGATAACTTAACTCAGATATGTGTGTTGTTGTTGTAAAATGTAAATATTTGCGCCCGCGCATAATTTATGAGGCAGTTGTAAAAATGATTGTACATAAAATGCTTAGTAAATGAAATGATCATCCATGTTTTCTTTCTACCTTTTACTTTAAATTAAACGAATTAACATGTATGATACAGATGATTAATACAATGTCCTTGTCTTATTCTAAGTAATTTGATATCTAACTAAAAATAGATATTGCTAAAGCATATGAAAGGATAATGATAACGACCACGATTCGAATAATTATTAAACTGGTAGTTTGATTAGCTGCAATACAATCACGAACAATACGAGAAATATCCTGAATCCGTTTATAAAACAAAAGACGATATTTATCGACAAGATGATATTTATAAGATACAATAGCAATTATATTCAATTGTTGCAGCGCGCTATCGTAGAAATATGAAAATTTCATAACAGGATGTTCTACGTATCAATTTTATATTACATAATTATTCCAAGTTGTTCTTTTAACGAAAGTTTTGATTCATGCTATATTTTCTGCTATGAATTTTTCAACGACCAATTTGACTATTTTTATTCATTGACTTGCAACATTATGTTAAAGAAAAAATGAGAATTATGAAGCAATAATTTATAGATTTCCAATAATTTTATATTTATAATGTAATTATTGTAACGTCGAACGTTTGTTTTTATTTTTATGTCTCTAAATTAATCGTTTATTTTGTTTTAATTTTTCTTTTGTTTTGTATCGCATCTCAATGTTACAAGACTTCCAAATTTTTCGTAAAAACACGTATAAGTATATTATAACAATAAATTGCTTTTTGTATTTTATCTTTGCGTCATCAAACACACATTTTTTTTCATTATCTAAGTATATTAAAAATCTATAATTTTTGTATTATATTTTACATTTTATTTATATTAAATAGCATCTCACGTTCTAACTTAGAAGACTCGTAGCCTATTTAATTTCTATTATTTTTAATTATTGAGTCTCATTATAATTTTAATAATTGAAAAAATCTGTATTCTGTCATATTTAATTGGCCGGATGTATGGAAAAAATGTTATGCCATCCTTTACGTTAATAATACACAGACCCAAAGCTCGAGCGGAAACATATCTTTTGCTAAATATTTCTGTCTTCGTGGAAAGAAACGACTAGACGCCAATGCAATTGAGCAGCTGGACGGGAGTTTAGGTAGTATGTATAAATTTGCTGTATATTGCGAATTTGCTGTGTCGCGTCACCGGCATGAGAAGAGAAAGAGCCAGAGGGTGGGAGTCGCGCGGCGTACGTGACTGACTGCACTTGGCGCGATCCCACTCTTCTCCTCCTTTCGGCATACAATACAATACTCCCTCGCAGATCTTTACATTTTTGGAGTTCTGACCTTGTCTATCGCGTTCACCTCGGCGTGTCATTCGCGCGATCGAAAATTTTGTACCATCAACACTTTCCATCGTGTAAACGATAATTGAACACGCCAGTGCGAAACGTATCAGAAGAAAGACACATTGCGGAAACTTTCCACCATGTGGCTATTAAACGCACAACTACCTTATGCTGCTGTTCAATTTTATTCGATAAAAAGAAGAAAGCACAATCGTATTATCGATTATAACGATAAAAGTTAAAATTCATCTAAATTGCATCTCAACAGATTTCGATTATATTTATATTTTGTAATACATTATTTAAAGTAAAATAAATAATTTCTTATTATGTGAAGAGATAAGTTCGAAAAAAGCCAGTGGATACTCACTTTCGTTCTTCCATTGATGGTATAATTTCCTATTTTGCCATTATTGTGCATTTTATTGGCTCTCATAATGATTGCATCGACCTGGGAAATCAGTGTGCCAATATTTTCACACTGTTCTTCCTTTCCATCCAGCCATATGATCTCATCGCCACGTATCGTCTTTAAGTCATTTGCGCTACCTTTATTGGAAACCAATTGTCCGTCTTGAAATAATCCGGCTCTATACATATTTAACACTTCACTTAACACTTTAAGACCTCTCTCCTTGCCTAAAAATTTGTCTACCACGCATACGCCGTACTTGTCCATGTCCCTTATCACATATTGACAAATTTTGTCTAGAAGTTCCTCAAGATTACTTCTGTTCCTATGTAGAAAAGGAGGCGAAAAGTCTTCTTCCTGATCCTGTATCTCCGACAAGTTCTTCATGCCGTTACGATGTTGAGCGGTTGAGCCAAGATCGGCGTTGCTCAAACTATCGAAAATCCTCGAGCTCTCTAAAATAGGATTTAGGAGCTCGGCTCGAGCTCCCAGTATAATGTCCTCTGAACTTCCCTCATACGTTATAGGCGACGTCCAGCCATCGGCTTTGTTATTTCGCGTGCTCCTTGCCTTTCCGCTATTCGACTTCTTCTTCAGATTCTGATTCCTTTTCCGTTCTTGCTGACTCGATTCGTTTCCTACCTGCACATCTGTAATCAGACCCGGTATGCAAAAGCCGTCAGTCTCACGTCTCAGGTTAAGGAGCTAATGCAATTATCTTATAATTAAGATACGATAAAACGCCCGTGTATCATCGGCTGCGAGTATCTAACGACAGAATGCAGAAACGCGCGATCGGTAGGGTTTGCTATTTATATCGCGCGAGTTATCGGTGTTAACGAGACTCCTATTGACATCAAATGTCATTGACGCGCAGATGCCCCCGCATTCTGCGTAAAATCTGACAATGAGTATGACAATAATGCAAAACCCCGAATACCTACCTGCTGGATGCTTCGCGTTCCGACACGAGTCCGAGGTGACGTTACTGACGTTCAAGTCTCGCGGTGCAGCCGAGGTCTTGTCGGTCTTGTTTAGGTTAGGAACGGCAGCCTTCGGGGCTTTGCGATTACCGACAGAGGGATGCCGCTTCTTAGACGAGGTCTCGCCTTCGGAACTCTCGTTCGTGACGACAACGGCAGGCACGGGGAACGGCTCTTCCGCAGGCACGGTGGCCGCGGGATGAGTCGCGCAAAACTCCCGGTGGCGTTTCCAGTCGCGTCTCTGGTGCTCCTTCGTGCAGTAGAAGACGACTTTGCAGCGCGAGCACCTCGACAGCTTGTCAATCTTGTCACAGACCGCGCAAATCACTCTCGCACCCGTTCGAATGCCCGTATCGTCGTCGCAGAGTTGACCGAGGGTCTGCATACGACCATCCGGTCCGGACATGTTTCAATGTTTACTCGGAGAGTACTCGAACGCCGCTGCGGCGGTCGCCGTCGTCGACGACATTTCTTCGGACGAGGAAAGTCAGTACGGCTCGCGCGCCGCCTGTGCTAAGAGTGATTACGAATTACGAGTGACACTAGCACTCCATACTTCCCCACCCATTAAATACAAATAGTGCGAATTGCGAATTTGCGATCTTCTACCATCTTTTTACTATACCTAAAGCCAGCGGCACACGATGCTTGTTTTCCTGCTGGATTGTTAGACGAATCAGATTCTTGCCACCCTATTGGCTGCGATGCTGGTGTTAGTACAGCATCAGTACGGCAGCCAATACGACGGCAAGATTCTAGTGTGCTGCCGGCTTATGATCTTAACCCTAAAATGCAGCCAATGGAATACAGATTTCGGTTAGGACTGACAGTCTTATTGGCTGAATTTTAGGGTTAAGACCCGCAGCGTAAACTCAGCCTTAAGTTTATTTAGGTGAAAATTGACGAATATCAAGCGTCAATTTGAATCACGTGATTTTTTAGCACTTAACACCTTCGTTCTCTCTCTTTTCAACGCCTGAATATATACTTACTTCACTTTAAGTGCAAACATTTTAGGGATTTCAAGCAACGTAAATAAATCCAATAATGTCTAGTGAGTTTAAATCCCAAAGGTATGTGCGCAAGCGCAGAAGCATTTAATAAACTCTAGTGGATCTTTTTTTTTGGTTAATGAAGTATTCTGATTGTCTGACTTTAAACTTGTCAATTAAATTTTGGATGCAATTATAGATTCGAAGACGAGGTGTTCTAAACGAAATCAACTGTATATATTAACGACATTAACGGAATTTATAACATATATATATGATTGCAACGATTGTAAAATGGTATGTTTTAACCCATTCAATGTCAAAGAAAAAATTAACATGTACGAGATAGTTTTTATTTTTAAAAATGTAGCACTAATTTTGTTTCTAATCAAGATTTTATGTAACTCAATAATGGTGATATCTTCTTGTGATTAATATTTATATATTGCGATTACTTATCTGTGCAAAGGCAACGCCAAGTAGATAAGTCAAAGAATAGTAATTATTTGTATTTTATCTTTTTCATATTTTTTTTACAGACAACGTTGAGACATGACATTGAACTACCGAATAACATTCCAAAATTATTAATAGAGAAACATGCAAACTATCTTATTTCATATGGGACCAGCAAAGATGAATATGTAAGATCATTTCTTCTTTTTTTATATGATAATTGATTATAATAAAATATATTTTTTTTAGCACACATATATATTTAATTACAGAATATATATATATTTTTTTAAATATATTCCACTTATTTATATTTGACACATTCATATTTTTTAGAATTATTCTCAAACTGAACACATGAGGATGTCTGGCATGTACTGGGGCCTTACCGCTTTAGATTTAATGGGAAAGTTAGAACAAACTAATAAGGAAGAAGTACTAGAATTTATTAGACAATGTCAAAGTGACAGTGGTGGTATCAGTGCCAGTATACAACATGATCCACATTTACTTTATACACTTAGTGCAGTTCAGATATTGTGTATGTATGATGCCTTAGATATAATAAATATCGATAAAGTTGTGAGTTATGTCAAAGAAAGGCAACAAGCGGATGGAAGTTTTGAGGGTGATCAATGGGGTGAAATAGATGTCAGATTTTCTTTCTGTGCCGTTGCTACTCTGTCACTCTTGGTAAATATTGAGTGTAATTATATTTAAGTATCCGCAAAATCAAAATGTTTTAAAATAGCAACATTTTTCTTTAATCAAAATAAATTCTTGTATGAGATGGAATGGAACATAACTTTCATAAAGATTCTCTGACTTTAGTTGATTCAAAGATGATATTTCTCAGATCCATGAAACCATAATACACAGACAAAATAAATTCTTGAAAATGTTTGTTTACAAATAAAGATATTCGTAAAAAAAAGTTTAAGTTCCTTGTATCACGTTAATTTGTTTTAGAACCGCTTAGATGCAATAGATGTCGAGAAAGCAGTACAATTTGTATTGAAATGTATGAATTTTGATGGAGGATTTGGTTCAAAACCAGGATCTGAAAGTCATGCAGGTTTAATTTATTGTTGCATTGGGTTGCTTTCGATCACAGGTATATATAAGAACAGAATAACTACTGTACAGAATATACTATTAGTTATCACTTACCAAAGGCAATTTTTCAGGACATCTGCATCTGATAGATGCTGATCGTTTAGGATGGTGGTTATGCGAGAGACAGCTACCTTCTGGTGGTTTAAATGGCAGGCCCGAAAAGTTACCGGATGTATGCTACTCTTGGTGGGTGCTGTCAGCATTAACAATTTTAGGTCGTCTTCATTGGATAGATAAAAAAGGCTTGGTAATTATATGTTTTAATAACATTTTATGAGATATCTCTCAAATTGGACTTATACCATAATCATTTCTGTTTTTCTTGTAGCTGTTTATTTCATTGCTTTATGTGTGTGTGTGCGTGCGTGCGTGCGTGCGTGCGTGTGTGTGTGTGTGTGTGTGTGTGCATGCGCGCATGTTCTTAATTACTCAACGATTTAAATAAAATAATTACAAATATTACCATTATATATTATGACTCTAATATAATTTTTTTACATCTTTCATTACAGATGGATTACATTTTAATTTGTCAAGATGTCGAAACTGGTGGTTTCAGTGATCGGCCTGGTGATATGGTTGACCCTTTTCATACTTTGTTCGGCCTCACAGCGTTGTCATTGCTAGACAAGAATTTCTCATTGAAACCAATAAATCCTACTTATTGTATGCCAGAGTATATAATTGATCGCTTAGGTCTCAAGCCATCGCGACTTGATGCGTGATAATATATTTGATTTGCTTTATAATGTACATTAATTCTTTGTTAAATATACACGTTGTAGGTTTTCCATAAAATATATCTTTGAATTTTTATTAAATAATACCAAATGTTCTCGAAATTGCACTGTTAAGTGAACCACCTCTGGAAGATTTTGAATGAGATGGGATTAACACATCTTGTGGCTCTTCTTAGGTCGCAAATCAAATTGCAGAATGCGAAATTGTTTTAAGATTTGTACACCTTTGTGCGATCTTGTCAAATAATAGTGGTTTCAGTGATAAAATAAGACGAATATAGATCTCAAGAAGCGCCATGTCTCAACTCATAAGAATGTAGAGAACAGATTTCAAAATGAGACTTGTGCAATCGCTTGTATTTGCCATCTTCATCTATGGATCGGAAATGTAGACAGTCCTGAAGAGGGACTGAAACTGCATGAACGCCTTCGAGATGTTAGGGAGATAGCTTTTAAGGATCTGGTGGATGTTGCACAAATTTTGATGCGAATTGCAATGATAAAATTATAATTTCTTCATTTTTTCATCATTTCTTTCGTAGAAGGTGCGGCTAATTGAACAAAAGTATTCAGATATATTAGAAATTTAAATTCTCTTACGCAATATGTTTTAATATTATAAAATATTACTATTATCTTTTTACATTTCTTTTTACATGCATAAGCTGAGCGTTTTCAAATAAAAATAATAAATATAACTTTTTCAGTCTGAGAAAATTTTATTATGTTCTGTCGATAATCCTTAAATATAATCTTTTTATCACCATATGTTAAAGTAGTAATTGCGAAAATATAGTTTATTTCTTACAGATGTCATCATAGGTTATTTATACCCAAAATATTTATGTATTTTGTATCCAAATAATTTTGTAAAAAGATAAAATTTCAACTCTTGTGAATAAAGAATTAATTTTTTTACCAAGATGTTTTTTATTAAAGCTGAATATTTTTAAGATAATTGTATGGGAATTATTATATGTGCTACTATCATATCATTCGTAAATTTTTAATACATAAAAAGGACAATAAACAAAGAAATTAAAAAATAAATTTACAAGAAATTAATTAGATGAATTTGATCTTTTTTCGTTGAACGATTATCCAGTTCAAGTTGTTTACCTACATAATGATGTTGTTCGCTATGCATATATAGTATCCCATATATAAAGTTTCAAAATCAGTCTAGTATGTATTAGGTCAATATACTATATTGATTCAGTTGTGATTATTACTGATATAGTTCAGATACATAGCACAGTACATACCAACAAAAACTACATAGTAATGGATGATAACTTGAATCCGGTACTGACAGATGGTACTGTCATTTTAGCTAGTCGTTTGCCGCAGTGATCGCTCAGTTCTGGTTGATAGAATCTTGGTCATCAATTGACAGCAATTGACAGTCGTAGGCCGGTATTCATAGTCAATTCTTATATTCAAGACCGTTGAGGTATCACGAACTAATCAAAGGGCCGCATAAAATAAGAACCAACTATGAATATCGGCTGACAGTTGGCTATAAATATTAGTTTCATTGTAACTGCTGACTATATATGGAAGAGAGAAAGAGATATATATCATTTATCGGATCTAAATATTGCTTCGACAAATAACGTGTTAAATATATTTCCTATCAATAAACTTCATTTATAAACAAATCACTGAAAAACTACTTAATTTTTTATTTAAAAACTAAATCGAACTTTTCATCTATCTTTTAGTAGAGAAAAGTCACCGATACCGATCTTATTTTTAGACAATATTTTTTAAACGGAAGGTAAAAATAAAACTTTAAAAACATATAAGTACAAATTAAAAAGTCTTTCTTCCGGAATCTTTTTACTTCGTTACAAAATATATTTATATTGAATTATATATGTATAATATATTTATTTTTTGCTGTTCTGAAAAATGCAAATATATGACGAGATAATTTTTCAACACTATTGTCTTTAGCTCCAATAGAGCTATTTGACATTATAAAGTAACATTATATTAGGATTACATTAACTCATCAGAGTTCGTTTTACAGATTGGTGTGGCAGTTTACGCTGCACCCCGATTTTATATTTAAAATCGTCTTATGAAAAAACTAAGAAAGAAAATAATATAAATAAAAAATTGATTTAGGAAGTTACAAGCATTTAAAAATGACTTAATAAAATACAATAATTAGTTTTTGAGAAATAAAGGGGTGTCACTTTAGAAGACCTATACTATATGTATGTGTCAGTATCGGCGACTTTTCTTTACGTATACTATAGATTTTCAATATTGGCAGCGGAATATGGTAAATATAGAATGTACATCGTGCTAATTTCATAGATTTCTGCACTTTTGTTACTATTTTGTATCATTAGCACATTTCATTAATATATAATCAAAACAAAATAATAATAGTTCTAGTAACATTTTTCATATACTAATACATATAATTCTATAGTTTACTATAAAAATAAAAAAAAGTTCTACCATGTTTCATACTAAAAAACCAAAATTGAAAAATTGCTGGAACTTCGTTTAAAAATAATCGTATAAGACAGTATAGACCTCTGTTGATAAATACTGTAAGAAAATATTGTTAGAATTAAATTATCGCGCATTACATATTTTTTCTCCAAGCGTCGTACTGTCTTTTATACAGAGTGTACAAAATAAACCAGTAGATATTATATAGTATAGATAGAAACATTGAAAGATAATATACTGAATAAAAAAGTCTTAGTGAACATAGGTTGAAAGTTCAACTGTTTAGATATAAATAATTTTGTATGTTACTATATGACTATATCTTTCTATGTATATTCATGTATAAGGTTTTTTTGATTCGTGTACGGTCTATACTATATAAATGCTGAATGTTTTTTTTATCACTTTGTGTATAAAATATTTAAATCTCATGATCTTAATATAATCATAATAATAAATTTGCATAACAATAAATAATCGAATTTTTCTCATTGTCAGTAGAAGTGTTAAGAACGATTATCTAATAATACATATCAGCTCAAAATCTTACAATTTTTGACACTTATATCCATATACTTTTTATTTTGGTAATTATAGCCGATATTTATAGTCGATTCTTATTTTAAGATAGTCTTAAAATGTTAATACGGCCCTCTGATTGGCTACAGGTATATCTTAAAACTGCGTACTTATCTTAAGATAAAAAAAGCCTCAAATATAAAATATCGTCTATATAAATACCGGCATAAATTATCAGATTAAAATTCTCTCAAAGTTCTATTTGCGAAAAAAACCTCTAATTAATTTATGTTTGTTTGTTGTGAAACCATAAAAGAAAAATCGCAAGTACATTTTTCATTTGATGTAAAATAACATGTTTATATATTACCTAACTTTATTTAAAGATATTTTTATTACTAAACTCTGAAAGAGACGAGCATATATAAAATCGTGCACAGTTTATCTTAAAAGGATTAAAGTACTTATACTTTGACACGTCAAGATGCGTTTTAATTATTTATTACCATGCACGGAAAGAATTACATCTTAAAATTTACCCTGAAAATATGGTAATCGTGGGACAATATTATATTTTGAAGAATTTTAATGTAAATCTTTCACATTCATTAATAAAACTACAATAAAATATAAAATAAGTATGATAAATTTTACTGAAGTGCATGGTAAAAATCTTTAAATTTATTGTATTGTACCATAATTACTATATTTTCAGGGTAAATTTTAAGAAATCCTTCTCTCCGTGTGCGTTATTACTTGGAAATGCCTACATATTTATTTAATGGAAGTATAATCAAGAATCATGGCTATGCAGACGTGATACGTTTCCCTCGAAGTTAAATCTAGTTAAAGTATTAGTGTACATTACGCGCGACAAGAATTGCCATTTTGTCGGCGAAGCACGAGGCGTAGCGACACGCCTCTCGCCAGCAAACTTCGAGCGAGGAAAGCGCTTCGATCCGATTGGTTTATCTTCTCCCTCCCCAGCTCCTTCGCCTGTATAAAGTTGGCACGGTCACCGATCGAGAAAGATTGGGTTAGATCTTGCTAACTAGGAAAAGATCGATCCCAAGCTTTCTCTCTCTCTCGATGAACAGTACAATTTTGCTAATGGTACTCAGAAACGCGCACAGTCAGCACATGCAAGATTTATACAGTCGCGCTTACGTGGTTGAGCAAGACAAAGATATAAAAGTGGCGCAGGTATATCTACGATTCCAAATATAGGAACCACGCAACAATAAATTAATAATAATACGTTTATATTCATGAGCAACAAAGCATTTTTCTTCGCACATATAGCTCTATACAGTCTATACTACTGGAAATTAATTTTTGTTCAACTCGAATTTTGCGAGTCGATATCTATAGATGACTGTTTCGTAATTTCAAACCGCGTTCTCGTTCTAACATAAAAAAGAAAACAGCTTTGCAATTGTAATTGCTGTAAGTGACTATAATATTATTGGTTTATAGTATATTCTCAAATCCAGTGAGAGAGAAGCTAAGAATAAGACCAGTTTATCAAAAAATTTTACGACGCAGTTGCTTTTTCTGTTGGACGCAGCTATATATTTGCACAATGATTTGCACGTAACGATGTAAGAATGTCGTCGTTTCAAGAAATTATAAGTAAACATAGCGAGGATCTTTCCTGCACGCTGCACTTCTCGTAAAGCTGAATCATGAAGAAATAAAAGAAATATGATTAATTTGTACTTGGAGAATATAGTACTTTTGTTAAATTTATTTTTCAGTATTTTCCTTCGTATTTAAATATTTCACATTCGTTTATAAGAACGTTATAAGGTAAAGTCGTGTTTACTCCAGAATCCCCCAGAGAAGCTCCGCAGACTCCGTCGGTCGGATGATCAAACATTTCGCTGTTCGAGGATTAGAGCGATAAAATTACACTGGTTTCAATCCTTGGAACGAAACGCCGCGAATCGATCCACGCGCGAAAGACAGAGCTCTCTCTCTCTCTCTCTCTCTCTCTCTCTCTCTCTCTCTCTCTCTCTCTCTCTC